GTGTGTGTGTGTGTGTGTGTGTGTGTGTGTGTGTGTGTTTCTGTTAGTGTGGATACATATGTATACCTGTGTGTTTGTGTGTGAAATTATTTTACTTGTGCGTGTAGGTGCTGAGTGTGCATACATGCGTATACATATCCATATTAATCTTCTTATTAGATTTCCACATGGCTGTCACAATATGCATAAATGGAAAGTATCTGCGCCAGTCAAGAACTGCCGCCTGCTGTGCGTTTCGCTAAAATATTTGAGTATTTGAAAACTTTCATCTGAGTATATCAATATTTTTACCAGAGTGCATGAACAGTTTTACCTGAGTATATGAACATCTTCACCTGAATATATATGACAAGGCATTTTTACGTGTAGCTAGAGAACTAGTGATAGGTAGTTCCGCACCACCATACAACAATCGTCTCGATTTTACACCTGAGCATTATATATGTCTGTCTCCAATACTCAGGACAAGGATATCTCAGCACTTGTCAAGAACTACCGCCTGCTGCGTGACTCGCTGATAGATGTGTGCGACAAGAACGTGCCTACCGGTAGCAGCACGGTGGTCAACATCGACCACTTCAATCTCAGGCGCAAGGCTCCCTTCCAGGTCTGTATGGCTATGTATATATGTATCTATCGTTTCTTTTCGGTCTATAAATATATATATATATATATATATATATCGTCTCGTTTCGACCTATGCACATACGTGTATGCATCTATGCGCATGTGTGTGGAAGTGTGTGTGTGGCTTTGTGTTTATATATGGATACACTGTAGTCTGCTGTTTCGCCCGAACCATGCACATCCCTACACACACGCATATGTAAGTAATTTTTAACTTAAGTGTCTTCGATTCTCACTCACTCTATAGGCTGTAGTGCCGCTCTCCTCAACGCTGACAGCAAGACTGCCCAATGTCAGGTGAGTCAACTTAATATATATATATATATATATATATATTTATATTATATAGATATATATATGTGTGTGTGAGAGAGAGAGTGTGTGTGTGTGTGTGTTGTGTGTGTGTGTGT